CTCTCTCTCTCTCTCTCTCTCTCTCTCTCTCTCTCTCTCTCTCTCTTCTCACACACACACACACATCTCTCTCTCTCTCTCTCTCTCTCTCTCTCTTTCTCTCTCTCTCTCTCACACACACACACACACACACATGGTTTTCTGAATTGTACGCGATCGTTGCTGGGGTGCTCGGCTCAGAGAGTAGGACGTGTGATGAAGGAGAATGAATATTAACTGCCTTGAATGGAGGCCTGGGATTGCAGCATCATGGTGCACATGTCAATCGCCACGGCGTTGGGATTAACAATGATTATAGAAATTGTCGATGCAAGATGGGGCTCACTCAGTCAGGGCGAGCGGAGAATTCGCTAGTGCAAGAGGTGTGACATACGCGCTATGCACGGGGACATATCCAGTTCGAATCGAGGTCAGACCAGAACGATACTGTTGGAGCAGCAGGATAACAGCTTAGTGTCGTCGTGGGAGGACGGTTGAAGGCCTCGTTGCAGCACTCGCGATCCGGCAACAGTTTCAATGAATCTGAACATGGAATCGGTCCTGATGCATTCAGAATATTGCCGGATGTCGAGTGGTGCATCCGACCCCCTTGGTCTGGGCGCAACCTGACCCTACTCAGCGAGCGCAAGTTTCGAACTGGATGAAGCATGGCGATGGTGCGTACAACACTGAAACGGGCTAAGGACACGGGTGCTCGGTCGATCGGCCGAGGAAGGACATGTAAAGAAGAACTGCAGGTCCTTTTTTTCCGTCGGGGCCTTCCCGTCTTCACCCAAATAGAGCGCCCATTTGGTGCAAATTCAAGTCCGGATACGGTCATTATTATCGGGCGTTCTATTGGGGTGAAGACTGGTGGTGAAATGGAGAACGTCGGTCTTCACTCGCGTTGCGGGCGTGATTAGCAATCGCCAAACGGGGAAGCATCGGTGCCGGCAACGTCGACGCAAGCAAGCACAAACACGAGGACATGTTGATTTGAATGGATCGCCTAAAGCTTTCCTCAGCGCAGACGTAAGGCGAAGAAGCACATCAGCGGAGAAAGAGTGCAACGCTAAGAAGGTGGCACGTCGACCCCTCCTCAAGAGGAAGTGGGAAGGAGATGGTGGCCTGATGAAGGTGCCGGATAGATAGTAGTATGAGGCTATGAGCAAATTTTGTGAGGCTGGGCAGGTGGAGAGGGGGGAGGATCGGAAAACAGTACCGGCATGGAGGGCGGGGGGAAGTTGGGGGGGGAATGGAGAGGGTGAGGGTGAGGGTGAAAGAGTCGAGGTAGTGGCAGAACCTTCCGTTTACAACTTCCGGAGTCTCACTGGATTGGCTGGGTTTCCTGCTACAGAGGAGACTGGGAACCAGCCACCTATCGCCAGTAAGGTCAAGGGGCGGGATTCGATCAAGCGTGAGGGTGGCTTCACTGGCTTGACATTATTCACGAGGAATTGCCGGGGTAGGGTTAGGGTCGATCGAGTCAGGTCGACCGCGGACGCAGTGGAGCTGGAAAAGCAAGGAGTCAGCGTCGCCAGCTGCTGCGCGGAACCAGCAACTGCAGGGACAGTTCTTAGTGTGTCGACTGCATTTGGAAGAAAGAATCGTCTGAGATTTTGTACGTTTGCTTTTGCAGAGTCAAGATGCAGATCACGCACCGGGGCGTCTTTAGCATGCAGGGGCATTCAGGTCCCGCCGGTGTTTTTTTGGGACCTTATGAAAGCTCGCGTTACTAGTATTTATTTAAGGTCAATTCAGTTTGCTTAGGAGCATCTGGCGTCAGTTGGCTCAGGCAACGGACTGCAACAAAGAGGAGGATGAATCATGAATCCATGATTGTCGGTAGTGGACTCGATCCAGGGATCGAGCGGGTAACAGGCACAGCAGCCTCAGCAGGTCGCTCCAAATGTTTTCTCTACATTATTTGACCGCACGGATTGGTGGAGGAAGTTGTGGGAGTGGTGCTTGTTTACGAAGAGTCGGCGACACCTGGAAAGGCTGGAAGCTCTTTCACAGGACACCTAATGAGCGTTCAACGACTTCATCAGTAAATACAGTAAATAGTCTTCATCTGATCTTTCTTATGCTGACCTTTATAAAAGGTACGGCCGCCAATTGAGTCAGACAACGAACGCAAGTGGAGAGGACGGATCTTTTCGAGTACTTTGAAAAGTAGACTGTCTTGAGCGCATGAGAAGGCGGAGATGTGCTCTCCGCGTAGCAGTGGGTAGCACCGCACGAATGGATGTGGTCAGACTTCGGAGCTGGAATGGAACCAGGAGGTTGAGTGGGTGGGTTTGCTGCGACGCGTGTACTTTCCCTGTGTCCGTATGCTGCTGACCTACAGAGCCTTGAGCAGCGTTTGAAGTCCTCAGAACGTTTACCAGTCCTTGCTGCAACCGATGTCTCCAGGACTACTTCCTCCTACTGTAATCCTTAATCGTGTTGTGGATCACAGTGGATGTAATCAGTGGAGTAACCACGGGCCTTGTAACCACGGGCCTTGCTGCACTACTTGCTGAAGCTGAAAAATGCACGAGCGTGTTGTTCTAATTTTACCGACAAAAAAGATGCACTCGCAGGAGTCGCAGCAGTTCATTTCACCGGACAGCGGTGCAGCGAGTGCGCGGGCGGCGCGGAAGTTTGTTTGTTAATCAGTAGAAAGGGGCATGATCATGATGGGATTTCAGAAGGGGATTTATGGTTGCTGTTCATGGAATTCCATGCTAATCTCGGAGTGGATCTTGTTGTTGGTTGGTTGGTTGCAGGTCCTGGAGATTGATGACGATGCAAAAAGCATTTTGAAGGCCCGGGAGACGATGGGTCATTCTGCAGTGCCTCGACAGCCGATGGGGCTTTACGATCCGGCATTCGATTCTGACGCTTGCGGTGTCGGCTTCATCGCTGAGCTATCGACTAAGCCCAGTCGAAAACTGGTAAGTGTGAGCCGCCTGGGTACTCACCCTTCTTCATCCACAGCGAAGAAAACTGGATCGGTATCATAGCATTTGGCAAATTGGCATCGCTCTCTCTCTCTCTCTCTCTCTTAGACTCTCTCTCTCTCTCTCTTTCTCTCTCTCTCTCACTGTGTCTCTCTCTGTGTGTGTGAATCTATAAAATTGCTGCCGTACATTTGAAGTGCTGCTGGTACGAGGATCTGGTTACTGATGAACTCATGATTCCGATTGGCAGGTGGTCATCGCTGTCATCTCCACTCAGCACTCCGCTTATTACGCGCTTAACAGGTGGGCATTTAACAGATTGACAGGGGGGGATTTTAGTTGCACAAGTAACTTACTGTAATAGTCAGCACTGCGGTCGTCTTCATTGTTCGTTCGGCACTTGGGAAGAAGGCATTACTTACAAGGGAGCGAACGGTTCAGTGATTCTTGATAATGACGACGTGGAAGCCGATTTGTGAGAGAGCAAGCCGCTCTTGTACTNGCGAACGGTTCAGTGATTCTTGATAATGACGACGTGGAAGCCGATTTGTGAGAGAGCAAGCCGCTCTTGTACTAGTACCTGTGATCGACCTATCTGGCTGGCGTCTCCTTTCTCTTATTCTTGACATTCATTTTAATTTAATTATTTGATAAATAGTTTTTGGTGAACTTGCTCGTGTGTAGGGGTCCAGTATGCGTACTCTGGCGCAACACAGATGAAGATGCTCTCCTGCAAATGTTCAGCTTCACTGCCTCACAAAGTGAGGTACTGAATCGTGTCCAGCAGTGCTTGCTGCACATCGTGGAAGTTCGTGCCTGCCTTCGGTCGGCGTCCGATATCGACGAAATACGCCTTAGACGGCGCAACATAAACCATGCCCAAATAGCCAAACACAGGCTTTCTGGAGAAAGTAGAAACTTGTAGAAAATAAATTTATGACAGTGATTTGAATTTTGGGTTCTGTATAGCGTTTTTTCTTTGGCTTGTCCAGCGATTTACTGTGAGGTTATTATTAAGAGTTTTTTTTCTTTTTTTTCTGGCCCGATGAAACCACAGATGAGATATTACACTGATCAGAACAGATTCTATACTTGATCTTATAACGTTTCTTCTTTGGCTTGTCCAGCGACTTACTGTGAGGTTATTATTAAGAGTTCTTTTTCCTTTTTTTTTCCGGCCCGATGAACCACAGATCAGATATTACATTGATCAGAACAGATACTACACTTGATCTTATAGCGTTTTCTCTTTGGCTTGTCCAGCGACTTACTGTGAGTCTGTGTGAGGTTATTATTAAGAGTTTTCTTTCTTTTTTTCCCGGCCCGATGAACCACAGATCAGATATTGCACTGATCAGAACAGATACTACAGTTGATCTTAGCGAAAAGGCCGAGAAATGTATGAGAACGGTACGGGTAACTGATAAGATAGAGGCCTATTCTGATGAGGTGATCTGTGGAGACTCGTCTCTCATGTCTGAGTTGACCCAGTCTCGCTCGGCGCGGTCTTGTGGAATTGCTGCCTAAAGGCCCTAAACTCTCTCTTCCTGGCGACATCTCGACTGTTGTCGACACAGGGGGACGTCCAGTTAGTTTGCAACAATACTTACTACTGAATGAGATGCGGTTTTCTGACTCCAATTTTCTGTGGTCGTATCCAACAATTTGTGCAGGTGGTGGAAGCGCTGGACATGCTTGATCGAATGTCCCACCGTGGTGCTTGTGGTTGCGAGGAGAACACCGGCGATGGGGCAGGCATTCTTGTCGCTTTGCCGCACGACTTCTTCCGAGCGGTAAGGACAAAACACGGAAAGGACATCTTATTCTGATCTAGGGTCATTTAGCCATATATAACCACGGCGGACTTGTAGCGGATGGGCATGAGCACAAAAAAAAAAAAAAAGGTAACGGTCCGTCTTTTGTCGTGCTGCTGGGGAATGGGCTCTCTGTGTGGCGGTAGTGGGGACCGACGGGGAGCGAGGTGGCGCAAGAATGAAACAGGGGGAGACGAAGCGTGCTTCTGTGTCGTAGAACATTTTGCAAACGCGCAGCGGTTGATGACTTCTGAATCGACACAAACGCACGCTTCTGTATTTTCAAGTCTCAGGTATATACTAGCCAGTGTGGTAGCCACCTCTCACCTCCCGCTGCGTGCACAGTCAGCAAACGGAAGAGAGAGAGAGAGAGAGAGAGAGTCGCGTACAATTGACTGAGCAGCGAAATTTGGACTTGGAATATGAATGCTTATCACAGCTGAATTCCAACATAGCGATGTGAGAAAAAGCATGTTTCAGAGCATTGCTGTGTATTATCGATTGCGTTCGTTGTTTGTACTTGCTGGATGAGGGAGAATGATGATTGTTTTTCCTCTTTGCTAAACGTTTTTGGCTAAACGAGCGCTTCGTTGTTTTCATCTCACAGGCAATGAAAGAAGAGGCGGATGTGGAGCTGCCGCCGGCGGGAGAATATGCTGTTGGAATGCTCTTTTTGCCCGTGAATGAGGAGCGGCGTAAGATCGGAAGGGACATCTTCATCAAGGTATTGTGGACATAAGGAGTGATACGAAATGTTTTCATGAAGGAGTTTGAAAAAGTCAGCGACTATAAAGACTCTGGTGAACTGGGGGCATTGGCAATTTTGGCAACACGAACTTGTTAACAAATTGGAATCTTATCTTGTTGCAGCGCTTACGCAGTTTGCAGTTCTCTCCCTGCCGCAGTGATTAGTGGATCATCCTTCATCTCTCTCGTCCGTTTTCTTACGGCCTTGGTCCACTACTCGCCAAATGTGCAAGATGAGAATGAATCTTCCCTTCAACATGGGAAGATGCACCGCCGCAGTTTTTGTCTTTTGTGCATGTGGAGAGTAGTGGAGCGAGGAGGCCCTTATTTCCATCGATCATGATAGCAGTCCACTGCCGGAAGCCTTCCAATGGGTCACGCTTCATCCCTATTCAAGTATACCTCTGTCCGATTTTCGATAATTGTGCATCACTCCACTACTGTCCAATTTCACGGGTTGTCAAATTTGCGGATAGCTGTCAAAATCGGCTTTACGACTGCATTGGATAGTTCCCTGCCTCTGCAGCGGCGGTTATTTGGAAGGTCCTCCGCCGAAGGAACAATTGCTTGCTGAAATTGGAGAGTGTACCTGGAGTCTGGGCGGGTTGTGATGCCGTACCTGTTCGTTTAAATCAGACTTCCATCTTGATCAAACGAGGAGTTTACTATGGTCAATGTAGTGAACTCTGTGGACTACATGCTTCCGTCTGATAATCAGCTTATGCTGTACCTTATGTATTCCTTTATCCTTTGAAAATCTGGGCAGGACAAATCAGGGTAGACTTGTCTTTCGTGATTTGAGTGCTTCGATAGTCTAGGCGAGGATAGTAGTGGAGCGGTGACGTCTTGTTACGATTTTTGAGGTGTCTGACAGCTATCCTACGACTATGCAATTTTGTGGACCGGGGACAGTGGTGGAGTGAGACCCAATTCCGCAGTGCCTTCTGAACGTTATAGTTAGCCTGTATCTCTTGAGTATGGGATCAAATTGTGATTGTGTGTGGCAGGATCGTGGCTGTGGCTTGGATTTGATTTGATAACCGGTCTTTGAAATGACCTATCCTACGACTATGCAATTTTGTGGACCGGGGACAGTTGTGGATCGAGACCCAATTCCGCAGTGCTTTCTTAACGTTATAGTTGACGTGTGGCAGGACCGTGGCTGTGGCTTGGATTTGATTTGATTACCGGTCTTTGAAATGCCGAGAGCGGAACGAAGATCGTTGGCGATGCCGAAATTCGTTCGGCCTGAAATTAGCGGATAGGTGTACTGTCCTGTTTTGTTTTGTTTGGCTGACAATCATTTCATTTTTTTTTGGTGTTCGCTTTCCTCAGAGGACGGAAGCTCTCGGTCATAAGATCGTGGCATGGAGGAAACTGAAGACGAATAACGCAGGTCTGGGAAAGGGGGCCTTGTCGACGGAACCGCTGATCGAGCAAGTGTTCATCACTCCGAGTGTCAAATCCACCGTCGATTTTGAAAAGCAGTTGTTTATCCTCAGGAGGTACATCGAGGGCGAGCTCCGCGACGCGCTAGGATTGGACTACGGAAAACCCCGTGACTTCTACATCTGCTCCCTTTCGTCAAAGTGAGTCGGTCCTTTTTTTTATTGAGACTTTTGTTTTTCTCTTCTTTGGCTTATTGAGACAGCGTTTCATTGTTTTTCTGTTGCATGGGTTCCACTGTTCTTAGGTTGCATGCCTTAGTTTATAAATAAATGTACGCGTGTGTCTATGTCGGGGAAGGAGGGGTATGAGTTTGTGTGTGCGCGCACGTGCTTGTGTGTGCGTGTGTGTGTGTTTTGTATGTGTGTGCCGCAGTGTGTGTGTGTGTGTGTGTTGTGTGTGTGTGTGTGTGTGTGTGTGTGTGTGTGTGAGAGAGAGAGAGAGAGAGAGAGAGAGAGAGTTGAGGGGTCACGCGAGGAGCAGGTGGTTGGGATCTCCTTAGTCTTGGAATGTGTTTTGTTCATCGTGATGGTTGGACATTTTCAATGCTCATCAATGGATGTGTCGACATGAGTGAGTCGGTCGCTGGTCACTGTCGTTGCTCTTGATTCATTCGCAGTTCTATCTGTTCGACAAATTCTTCGCCCTCGCTTTTGCATTCACGCTATGCAACTTGTTGATTTGTTCTCTTCTCTCCCTCCCTCTCTCTCTCTCTCTCTCACACACACACACACACGCACGCACGCACGCACGCAAGGAATCTCTTTCTCACGCACAATCTGTCTTTCTCTATCTCTTCCTCACAAACAATCTGTCTTTCCCTATCTCTTTCTCACGCACAATCTGTCTTTCCCTGTGTAATGCGTATTGGCTACAGGACGGTTGTTTACAAGGGGCAGCTGAAGCCCGATCAGCTTCCTTCTTACTACCCGGACCTCAGCGATGAGAGATTCACAGCGTATACCGCTTTGGTAAGTGCTCGTTTCCAGAGTCCTGATGAACTGGATAGCTTCTGGATCTGCGCGTTTTATCCTAAGAATGTCCTTAGTATTGATTTTTTTTAGATTCGCCGCGGTCGATTTGGTTCCTAAGACAGCAAACGCGCTTCACGAAAGTCGGAATCCGAGAAGAACAAGGACAAGCTTGTATGACATATACGAAATCGATACTTGCAATGGAGCTGACCAGCTCTGCGGTTTGTTGTCCCGAATCCATCGTTCTCCGGTTTTCTCATCACCTTCCACGATAGGTGTTCACAAGGTTTCGTGTTTTTTGGGAGGTTTAGCTTAGCGGACAAGGGTGGAAAGGTGCGGCCGAGTCGGGCCGACCAACGGGGCCCTAGTGGTACATCGATGAACTTTTGAAATACAGACCTGAGATGTGAACGTCGAACTGACCGGCCCCCGGTAATTCTTTAATAATTTGAATTACCTGGAGCACAGGCAATTCTTTGAATAAATTGAATCACCTGGGGCGCAGGTAATTCTTGATTTTTTTATTTTATTTTATTTTATTATTATTATTATTATTATTATTTATTTATTATTATTTTTTTTTTACAAATGAACTTTGCATTTCATTACTTTGTGTTAGCCAGACCCCCACTGGCGGCCCCAACCCTATACCCTAAACATTAGGGGCAAGGGGCAACATGAAATCTCCCCTTCATAGTGAGAGGAAACTATGCTTGCAGGGGTCCCCTCTAGATAGCCTTAGGAGTAGGTAGTGAAAGGCAAAAAACAGAAGTTGAGAGAAAAATATAGAAAAAAAAAAAAAAAGAAAAGGAAGAAAGGGGAGGCCGGGAATCCCTCCACAAACAACCCGGGGCACAGGTAATTCTTGAATAATTTGAATTGCCTGAGGCACAAATAATTCTTGAATAATTTGAATTACCCGGCGTACAGGTAATTCTTGAATGTCCTGGGCCGGTCAGTCCGACGTTCACATCTCATGGTAGGTAGTGGCCACCTTTTTTTTTTTTCTTTTTTTTTTTTGCCACCTTTTTTATAGAAGGAAGAGAGGTGTCGCGGACCGTTTTCATGATGATAATCTCCTTTTATTTTTGGACGGCATGTCCTCCGCGACATGTAATTGCTTGCGGCAAGTTGCCGGATGTATACGATTTTGCCGTTTGGCAATTTTTGTTCAACCGAAAAGTCGGCTCGTCGTATTTTTTTTGGGAATCAGTTTGGACAACGATCTTAATGTGGAGTCTCCAGAGGTCCACTAAGAGAGAATTGGAAATGAATTGTAGTAACGGAGAGTTGGAGAGACATTGGTTTCATATCAGTTTTTTTGTTGGCACAGATTGCCACAGAACGGATTCAAAAACGTATAATCCAAAGTCGAATCTGGCGGACAACGGAAAGGCGGGAACGCCAGTTCCAGAGATGATAGATCGCTGTGGACATAATTGCAGTCAGCTGCATCCATCGCGGGTTGGAAAAGCTGGCTCTGGAAACAGTGGAAAGTCCTCGTGTGAGTATGCCTCTTGAGTCTCGAGTATTAGAGCTCAACTCGTCTTCTGCACTGGGCTCTCCTAAGCTTGCGTATTCAGCAATTGTGTCTGACTCTTTGGTGAAGTTTGGTCCTTGAATATGGGAAGGTGGAGCAAATAATGTGCGCATTCAGCGGCTTCAACAGATGGGCAATTCCGATGTCATTGTTTTTTAGTATGCATTTTTCAAAACGTTCACATATTCGAGTTTCAATGTTTGCCACTGTCTAACCAGGTCTTTTGCCATGCTTGAATCTGTGTTGCTTTACAGGTGCATTCTCGCTTTTCGACCAACACCTTCCCTAGTTGGGAAAGGGCGCAGCCAATGAGAGTGCTTGGGCACAACGGTGAAATCAATACCCTTCGGGGTAATATAAACTGGTGAGTATCAGGGATGGAGACTTAAGGTCTTTTTTTGTCAGTGATGGAGTGGGGTGGCTTTGCTTCCATGAGTGATGGTCACCCTCTCCTTAGCACTTGCTCATCTCATTCTCTGCTTGAGGTCCTTGGCCAGTCGACATGATTTACTGTGTGCACTGAGCGCTCTCATTATAATGTTATTGCGAGAGAGGCTGACTGCGGACTTGTTGTAGTTAGATAAACTGGTGAGTATCAGGGATGGAGACTTAAGGTCTTTTTTTGTCAGTGATGGAGTGGGGTGGCTTTGCTTCCATGAGTGATGGTCACCCTCTCCTTAGCACTTGCTCATCTCATTCTCTGCTTGAGGTCCTTGGCCAGTCGACATGATTTACTGTGTGCACTGAGCGCTCTCATTATAATGTTATTGCGAGAGAGGCTGACTGCGGACTTGTTGTAGTTAGATTTACTGTGTGCAGTGATCCCTCTCCTTATAATGTTCTTGTGAGAGAGGCGGACTGCCGCTGACATGATTGCTCTTTCTTTTTTTATTTTTCTTTTTTTTTTATTTTGTGTGTGTGTGTATCAGTGTATGCATGTGTGTGCGTGTGTTTGTGTGTTGCGTGTGTGCGTGCGTGTGGGCGTGTCTGTGTGTGCGTGTGCGTGTGTTGATTGTGCGTCAGGATGTGTCCGCGTGTGTGCGTGTGTGTGTGTGTGTGTGTGTGTGTGTGTGTGTGTGTGTGTGTGTGTGTGTGTGAGAGAGAGAGAGCTTTATCTTCAGTTGGCAAAGGTAGAGGCGAGAAATTGTGACGCTAATGTGAAAGATACGTCCTTTGATTGTGCGTCAGGATGAGAGAGAGAGAGCTTTATCTCGAGTTGGCAGAGGTAGAGCAAAGGAATTGTGACGCTAACGTGAAAGATGTGTCCGTTGATCGTGCATCAGGATGAGAGCACGAGAAGGCTTGCTGAAGTGTGATGCTCTGGACCTGCCTCGGGAGGAGCTGAAGAAGCTGATGCCGATTGTGGACGAGGACTCCTCAGATTCAGGCGCATTCGACGGAGTGTTGGAGTTCCTGATCAGGACTGGAAGAAACCCCCCGGAATCAGTGATGATGATGATTCCAGAGGCTTGGCAAAACGACCAGCAAATGGATTCCAAGAAAAAGGCGTTGTACCAATATCATTCCGCTCTCATGGAGCCTTGGGACGGACCTGCTCTGATTGCCTGTGAGTTCTTGGCACTTCTTGCACCCTAACCCTGCAGTCAGGAACCTGACGCACACACACACACACATCATTGTTGCAGTGTTGCACTCTTTTTTGTGGAGGTGCTTTGCGAACACACACACACACACACACACACACACACACACACACACACACACACACAGAGTCATGCAGCTATGTGTAACTTCCCTTCGTCCCATTCTCATCATTTCGTTTGTTATTTACTCTCTGCATGTTATGGTGTTTTCCCGTATTCGCCTGTTTGCAGCATCTTTAAGATGTGCCAAATCGTCAGTTCGTGTTTGTTAGAAGTACCTGCCACGTTATGAGGGGGGCAGCAGCTCTTTTATTGCAAGGTTGGGTGGCACTGCTTGGAAGCATATGGATTTGCCCGACTCCCTGACGTGTTTGTGGGTTATTGCGAAGGCATACTCATATTATTGATTATTAGATATTGACTAACTAATGTGATGTAGTTCCCGTAGCATTATTTAACACCCTGTGCATGGTCTTGTGACTCTTGTTTGTCGGATTTCCCTTTGACGCGGTAATTGAGAGTACGGCTACTACGGCATACCATCTTGTGAACAAAATAATGGCATCATGTAGGCCATGTTATATTCTCTGAATCGCTTCGTTTGTGTTCTTTGTCTGATATGAATTATTGGCAGTCACGGATGGAAGATACATAGGAGCAACTCTCGATCGGAATGGTTTGAGGCCGGGTAGGTACTACATCACCCACAGTGGGCGTGTGATCATGGGCAGTGAAGTGGGAGTGGTGGATGTGGATCCCAAGGACATAAAAAAGAAGGGGCGGTTGAATCCTGGAATGATGCTCCTTGTGGATTTTCACGAGCATATTGTTGTGGAAGATGCGGAAATGAAGAGGAAGTATTCCGCAGCTCGGCCATACGGAGAATGGCTGGCAAGGCAGATGGTTACGCTGGAGGACATTGTCCACCATGTGCCCCAGGAGAAGTTGCAGCCGCCTGTAATCAATGGTGTGATTGCAGATGCCGACCTCGATGCGGATATCAAGGACAACCGTGGTTTGACGAAGCTCCTGGCTCCGCTCAAGGTCTTTGGGTATACTGTGGAAGCCTTGGAAATGTTGTTGCTCCCCATGGCTCGTGACGCCTCAGAGGCTCTTGGGTCTATGGGTAATGACACCCCTCTAGCCTGCATGTCTGACCGGCCAAAGCTTCTTTTCGAGTACTTCAAGCAGATGTTCGCCCAGGTCACCAATCCTCCCATCGATCCTATTCGCGAGGCGGTCGTCACATCCACAGAGTGCATGATTGGCCCGGAAGGCGATCAGACTGAAACAACAGAGGAGCAGTGCCATCGACTGTCCCTTAAGAGTCCACTCCTGACGTTGGAGGAGATGGAGGCAGTGAAGAAGATGGATCATCGCGGGTGGAGGACGAAGGTTGTCGATATCACCTTTGCCAGGGAGGAGGGACCTGCAGGGCTAGAGAGGACGCTCGAGCGAATTCGCAAGCAAGCGACCGAAGCCATTGCCGATGGATTCAAAATGCTGGTTCTTTCCGATCGGGCCACGTCCTGCGACAGGGTACCAGTTTCTTCTCTGCTCGCAGTGGGTGCTGTTCATCACCACCTTGTGCAGACTCTCTCACGTACTCAGCTGGGATTGATTGTGGAGTCGGGAGAGCCTCGTGAAGTCCACCACTTCTGCACGCTTGTCGGATTCGGAGCAGATGCCATCTGCCCCTATGTGGCAATCGAGGCAATTTGGAGCTTGAACGAGGACGGCAAGATGCCACCTAAAAAGGATGGCTCCCAGAGAACGAGGCAGGAACTCATAGCAGCCTATTTCAAGGCATCGGATGCAGGCATCCTGAAGGTTCTTGCGAAGATGGGCATTTCAACATTGGCCTCATACAAGGGGGCACAGATCTTTGAGGCGCTTGGATTGTCATCAGAGGTGGTGGACAGATGTTTCAGGCGGACACCCAGCCGTGTTCAGGTGTGCATCAGAAAAAGAAGAATCTCTGGCTTTTCAAAACTTTTCTCACAATCCCTTGTCGAATGTTTGTTCCCAGTCTGACTGCTTTTCAGGAGCAAAAGATGTGTTTTTGCAGCTCACCACCCTCAGAATAAGAAATGAATCTGAGGTATTGAGCCTCACCGCACTACTCAGGAAACTCTTGTTTTGGTGAGATGGGGGTCGTGGCACTGGTCGGCAGAGTTTTTCATGTCAGATGAAACCCTTTCACATGTCGAAATGGCTCTTGGTGAGGACTCGTCAAACCCACGGCCATCCCGGCCTGCATGGCTCCACAGGCTGCACGGGTGCTCACGAACAGCCACCAAAATGGTGAGTGGTACACCGGTCCAGACTGGTTTGTTTTTTCTTGATAGAAGTTACTTACCAAACTGCTCACTAATTTGGACCTGCACGGTGGCGTCTAGACATGTCCAGCTCAGAAATCGTAAGTGAACTCACGCTGTGAGTCTGTGACTCTGCTGCACCGCACTCACCAAACATGGAGCGGTCTGGAGTCTGAACGCGATTTTGGTGAATGAAAGTGTTTGGCAATGCCTTGTTTGGTGAGTAGTGCAGCTAGTAAGGAATTGTTCTGCTGGCAGTGCTGAGTTTTTTCTGTGGTGAGAGCTCGTCACCAAAATCTGGGTTTGGCAATGCCAACTTGAAGGCGTATTCGTCTCTTGATGGCCCTTCTTTCAAATCGGTTGTCGGTGTGTCACAACAGAAATTTCCTGCTTTGTCCGGGGCGTCATTAAAACAATGTTTCCATGAACGTATCAGACGTCCGACTCAATCTCTTATTGCAGGAGAATATGAGAAAGCAAATCTAGTAGAGAGAGGCTGGTCCAGTAGAATTGAAAAGAGCAATACGTAAGTTGTAGCATGGCAGGATAACTCGTCAGAGAAAGAACCTGGTCCAGTAGAATTGAAAAGAGAAAAGAGGAGTTGTTGTGTGTAGTGCAGAGTCAGACTAATGATGTCCGATTCTGCGATTCCCCAGGTGACATGGTTCTCGCTCTGGCCAATTTACCAGAAGACAAAATGGAACTGGCTCAGTCTGGCTGAAGCCAATTCAAGCCATGCTTTGGGATACTCGAATTCGTGATGTATAGCGTAAGGGAAAGTACTGAAAAGGATGTGTGTGTGGCGTGTTTGATGCATCCCCAATTGTATACAGGGATGTACATTCAAGACCTTGGCGGAGGATGCCATGCGCTTGCATGAACAAGCTTTTCCTATTGCAGAGCCACCTAAGGGAAGCGCGGAGGCAAAGGCGCTGCCGAATCCTGGAGATTACCATTATCGTGCCAATCAAGGCTCTGAGGTTCACTTGAATGACCCGACAGCCATTGCCAAACTGCGCGAGGCGGTGGGCCAGAACAGCAAGATAGCCTACGAGGAGTTCGCCAAGATAGTGAACGGCTTGAACAAGAAGTGCACCCTTCGGGGAATGATGAAATTCAGAAATGGCACAGCAATACCGGTGGAGGAGGTTGAGCCTGCACAGAACATCGTCAAGAGATTCTGTACGGGTGCTATGAGTTACGGATCCATCTCGCTCGAGGCTCACACCACATTAGCCATCGCGATGAACCGCCTGGGCGGCAAATCCAACACAGGTACGACGTGTGTCATAAAAAAACAGCACCTCTTAGGCTCTTTTACCCCATGCTTGAGTACGTTGAGTTTGAGACAGTGCACAGATCATGGGATCGGTGTGTTCATACCGAGTCGGCGAGTCGTACGTGCTGTGTCGACCACTCCTCTACTCTGTCACGCCTCCAATGTACTGAGTAAAATACTGCGGTCACCGTGATGATTTTTCTGCCCATTCCCAGTTAAAACAGTTTCTTGAACTTCACTGCATTCAGTGAAGCATTGTTCTCCGCTGCAAAATTGCCAGAGCTGTCATGAACTCGTGGATATTGTGAATTTGTGAAGACCATGGTCGCTCAGTCTGGGACGATAGATCTTCCATGCTCAATCGGCCTGAGTTTTTCAGATGTGTGTCAGACTGTCAGTGTCATCATTAAATGGTTAAGAAAAAACCTCAGGTTTCGCTCACCAAAAGGGAAGGTGAAAGGTGCTAAATTGTACAGTGAGACGTGTTGCTGGTTTAACTGTGACAGTCTCGTCATGGATGTCAATTACCTCTGTTTCATGGCAGCGGCGTGATTGTGATTATTAAGTGTAGTATGTATGTAGTATGTACTAAGACTGGCTGCTGGGTGCAACCATCTCTGACAGGTGAAGGAGGAGAGAACCCATCTAGGCTGGTGCCCCAGTCAGATGGGTCTCATAACCCGAAGAGGAGTTCCATCAAGCAAGTGGCCAGTGGGCGGTTTGGTGTGACTGCATATTATCTGACGAATGCAGATGAGCTGCAAATCAAGATGGCTCAGGTGGGTCCAGTGAACCATCATTCGAGTTGCTGCTGGTACAGTGGATTACATATTAATCTCTTTCTTCTCAGAACCTACCGTTGTTCTTATTTGGGCCTGAGTCTTTGCAAGTTTCAGCCCTATTATGATAATGATGAGGATCAGAGTTACCCACTGTTTGAGACATCGCTATTACAGAAGAGCATGGTGGTTGTAGAGTAGCAAATGGCTACTAGCCTATTTGTTGATTCTTTCTGCTCCGTGGGTATTTGCCATGCGATTCTGTCTGCTTTGTTACGAAGTTGTGTGGGTCGTTGTATATTATCTGACGAATGCAGATGAGCTGCAAATCAAGATGGCTCAGGTGGGTCCAGTGAACCATCATTCGAGTTGCTGCTGGTACAGTGGATTACATATTAATCTCTTTCTTCTCAGAACCTACCGTTGTTCTTATTTGGGCCTGAGTCTTTGGTGCAAGTTTCAGCCCTATTATGATAATGATGAGGATCAGAGTTACCCACTGTTTGAGACATCGCTATTACAGAAGAGCATGGTGGTTGTAGAGTAGCAAATGGCTACTAGCCTATTTGTTGATTCTTTCTGCTCCGTGGGTACACCATCTTCTGAGATCCTGCTAATAACGAAAGAGCATGACGGTCATACAGTCTCTATATTTGCCATGCGATTCTGTCTGCTTTGTTACGAAGTTGTGTGGGCCGTTGTAAATGCCCCCCCCCCTGCTGCCATGTTTATATTCTCATGTAGATTTCTTCCACTGTCTATTCCCTATACAGGGTGCCAAGCCTGGTGAAGGAGGTGAGCTGCCTGGACACAAGGTGGTTGGAGACATTGCGGTGACTCGTCACTCCACTCCCGGTGTGGGACTCATCAGCCCACCGCCACATCATGACATCTATTCCATCGAGGACCTGGCCCAGCTTATCTACGACCTGAAGGTGAGTGATGATGAAATATTTCGTTTGACTCACTCGGGTATACTTTTTTTAATCTAAATAACAATCTGGCAACGGGAAGGAAGATGTGTGCACACGTTGGTGTGGATGAAAGAATACACGTAGTACGACGTGTTCTGACTTCCCCAAGTTCCAACAGTATAAGCAAGGTTTCGTCCAACGATGAGTGGTGACAAGTTGCGGGGCCAGTAAGCGATGCTAATGGGTGCATGTGGTGTCTGCTTTTGTATGTAACGCATGCACTGATGCAGAACTCGAATCCGGGAGCTCGTGTGAGCGTGAAGCTGGTTTCGGTTGCTGGTGTAGGAGTCATCGCAGCCGGTGTAGTGAAGGGACATGCTGACCACGTGCTCATTTCTGGTCATGATGGTGGTACCGGTGCTTCCCGCTGGACTAGCATCAAGAATGCAGGTATGTAGTCCTGGTACTGTCAGACTGTGTCAGTAGGACTCAGTACTGATTTGCAGACTCTGTAAACAGTGACGTTTCTGTATATTTCAGCAGCAGTGGCAGCAGTGTTGTCAGTGTGTATCGTCAACTGTTCTTTTTTTTTTTTTTTTAATTTCCCTCCTGGCCCTTTACGATTTCTCCCCTTCCCTAATGGTCTACTAAACCCTAAACCCTAAGCCTTGCCTCTTGCTCATGTTAGCCCTTAAAATCTCGACCGTTGGCCTGTGCCTCCCTCCTCCCACCCTCTTAAGCAGTCTGCCTGTAGGGTTGGTCTAGTACTAGTTCCTGCCCCGCGGCGTCCTGCGATGTTTCCTGCTGATTCTCCCTGAACCATTGGAAACGGAGTGTTTTCCCCTCCAGTGTCGCTACTCGGCCCGGTGCAAGGACCTTATTCTGAAACTTAGTGATTATTTCCTTTGCTTTTTCCGGGTTCGTTTCCTCCTGTTTCTCCGCTTGTTTCTTAACCCTCTGCCACTGGGCCCTGATATCCGTCTCATCGTCAACTGTTCTTTTTTCTTCTTTTTGCGTATTTTATCTCCTGATCCTCTGATTCCTTGCACTTGAAGTCGTAAGCGAGCAAGTCCATTCCAACAGAGTGACGATAACTTCGAAGGAATTTCGATGGATATAATATTCGAAGGGATTTTGATGGAGATAGTCTGCTAAGGGCTGTTCTCGCATGACATTGTGTCTCCTGTGGTAATCAGGTCTGCCCTGGGAGCTTGGCTTGTCAGAGACCCACCAGACACTCGTTGCGAATGACCTTCGTGGTCGCATGGTCCTGCAGACTGATGGGCAGTTGAAGACAGGGCGTGATGTTGCGATTGCTGCACTCCTTGGAGCAGAAGAGTTTGGCTTCAGCACTGCGCCGCTTATGGCGATGGGTTGTATTATGATGCGGAAGTGCCACAAGAACACCTGTCCGGTTGGAATCGCAACACAGGACCCTGTCCTCCGAGCTAAGTTCAAGGGGCAGCCTGAGCATGTCATCAACTATTTCTTCATGGTGGCCGAGGAAGCAAGGAAGTACATGGCATCCATGGGTTTCCGAAAGATGGAGGAGATGATCGGTCGGGCAGATATGTTGGAGGTGGACAACGAGGTTATCCAAAGCAACCCAAAACTGCACAATATCGATCTCTCGGCCATCCTGAAGCCTTCAGCAGAGCTGCGGCCTGGTGCTGCTCAGTACTGTGTGCAAAAGCAGGTCAGTTGAGAGCGTTCATCTTGTCATTTTCTCCCTCTCAGCTCTTGTATAGTTGTTTGTGCACGACTGACTTTTTGTTATCATACTGGTTTGTTGTGGAACTATTGATTCAGAATTGATAATGTCTATAACATGTAGGATTGCAGAGGACTCAAGGAGGGTCAGCCTCCTTGTTCAGGCGTAAGCTGCGTAACTCTTTACGGTGGTATCTTGTCCTTGAACCTGTGATGACATAATATGATCTGTAGTCACTGTGGCCCTTTTGTCTGTCACCGGTTGGATAACCATATTCTAACTGGCCATGCGGGACTGGCAAATGAAGGCGTAACTTCATGTGTCTGGAAAGTAAGGACTGCTCTCGGCTCGGCCAAAAAAAAAAAAAAAAGCGCAACTTCATGTGACACAGTCTGAAAAGTAAGGACTACTCTCGGCTCGGCCAAAAAAAAAAAAAAAAAAAAAAGATTGCTCTTGGCCATGAAGCATCGTTTGATAGTGCCCATTGCCAAGACACACTTCGAAATTCGCACCCAGTGGCAGAGGCCCAGAGGGGAAAGGTGGATAGCTGTATGATGGATGACCTTAAAGTTATCCTATATACGGTGATGCCTTTTGCTAGCTGCGCTACCCATGTTGGTGAAAATTATTGGTCGACTTTTGGCGAGTGCCACATGAGCACGAGCATACGAATTGATGCTAATATTTTGATACCATCATGATAATCGTTGTGTGCAGGATCACGGTCTTGACAAGGCGTTAGATGTCAAGCTGATTGAGCTCTGCAAGCCTGCGTTGGAAAAGGCTGAAGCTGTTCGCCTCGACCTGAAGATCTGTAACGTCAACCGTGCAGTGGGAACCATGCTTAGCCACGAGGTACTATGCGATGTGTGCCGGACTTTGACGTTATGGTGGTACCATTCCATTATTTATAAATATGCTTTTTGCTTCCTTGGTTGAGCGATTCATTTGTTGGTGCCTGTCCGTTTTGACCTTAAGATCTGTAATATCAATCATGCACTTCAAGTTAGAAACGCTGTCAGGCCTTAGTTAGTCATATGAACCTTGAATTTGCAGTGCTGTGATGTTGTTATTTGTATGCGTGCTTCGTTGCTCGAATGATTTCTTCGTTAATGGATGGAATGGCCGAGTGGTAGGGTGAACTGGTTAATGATTGGTTCAGATGAAGCCTGTTTGCAAGATGTGCTGAGTAGGCAATCGCCCAACTGATGGAGATTCGGGTGATGCGCAGGATGGCATGGACTATGTTTGGTGGATGCTGAGGTCGAATAGTTTTTCACGTTATCTCCATGGAATTGGTTGTGCAAAAGCGCTGGTCTTCATGGCCTGCTTGACTGTATGTCGCGGTGTGCGTTGATAATCCCTTGATGGGGGTGATCCCTCGCCCAACTGTCTACTGTCCACAACGGGGTATATACTGTTCTGTTCTGGCTGCATGGCGTGCATGTGGTGTGGAGTTTTGCTGTGCACATTGCATGAACATTAAACAATGAAAATATGTAGACGACCGCATGATTTGACACGTGCTCGCATGTTGTGGTCATGCACAGGTAGTGAAGAAGTACAGGTTAGCTGGGCTTCCCGAGGACACCATCTACATCAAGCTCCACGGACATGCTGGACAGAGTTTTGGTGCATTTATTTGCCCCGGAGTGACCTTGGAATTGGAGGGTGACAGCAACGATTATGTTGGCAAGGGGCTCTCTGGAGGTAAGGCTTTTCGTCTCTCTACCGTAATGGCACTTCAACGTATTGCATAATTCATGGAAAAGTGCCCCATCTCTTCAAGAACACATAGTTCCGTCTACATAGTACTGCACATACCTGGCCTTCGGGCACATACATACTGCTATACAGCTACACAGAGCATACGTAGCATCGGGGCATACACATGCTGTGCAATACTGGAGGGGGAGGGAATGCATGGTATGCCGTTAAAATAGGAGAGGCCTATGAGAAGTTAACATACGAGCTGTCAGGACATGCCAAATTTGAACTGCTTGCAGTGATCAGGATGGAGAGCAAATGTACTCACAGCGAAGGAGTTGGAGGGTGGGGGGGGGGGGGGGGGGGGGGGGGGGGGGGGGGGGGGGGTGTGGGGTGTGGGGCCCTTACTGGCTACCGATAGTAGAATAGGTGGGTGGATGATTTGATGGAACTTTGGGCATTTTTAGTGGGGTTAGTTCACACACTTTTTCTCTTGGTGCTTGTTCTAACATTTTTAATTCTTTGGCTCGCAGGAAAAGTCATCGTATATCCTCCAAAGAATGTGGGATTTGACCCCAAGGAAAACATCGTCATTGGAAATGTGGCCTTGTATGGTGCCACGTCTGGGGAGGCTTACTTCTGTGGCATGGCTGCTGAGGTTAGTACCTGTCTCTTATACACATCTAGATGTGTATAAGAGACAGCTCTCTCTCTCTCTCTCTCTCTCTCCTCCTCTAACCCCAGTCCCTCCGGTGTGTTTCTCTGTGTTCCCGTATGTCTAATTCATTTGTCAGGATAACAGCTCATGTGATTGATTGTGGTCTTTTTTTCTTGTCTTTACCTTTTTTCAGTTCTTTTTGTTTTCTCCTTTTTGGCCCCTTTTCTTATATGTGTGGTTGCATATGCCTGTTTTCATGGTCTTTGCTTTCGAACTGTCAGTCAGCTTGATAGTATCGGCATGGTCCTTTTAGTGGGACCGTTTTGTGCAGTTTCACGGGGCCTTTATTTCCGCTGGTGTTGTCTTCAGATGGATGGTCGATTTAGTTGATGACTGAGGAAACGATGCGGGGGTGCATGATGGGTGGGCGCATCTGCTGTTGGCTGCAGCTGAGAAAATTTGTTGACGTTGCTAACATCTGGGTTGTGTTTATTGTCTTACAGCGTTTCTGCGTCCGTAACTCCGGTGCAAAGGCTGTTGTGGAAGGCGTGGGTGATCACGGCTGTGAGTACATGACAGGGGGTATCACTGTCATCCTGGGAGGTACTGGCAGGAACTTCGCAGCCGGAATGAGTGGTGGGATTGCTTTCGTCCTGGACAAGACTGGGGAGTTTCCGAAGAAGTGCAACATGGGCCTTGTGGACTTGGAGAAGGTGAGAGCATCTCTTTGATATTCGCCTGTCATCGTCTATTCATGTACTACGGGAACTGAACTAAGTGCATGTCTCTGTTGCATTGTGGTTTCTTTGTCGAGTTAATATGTCTGTGGTTAATACAGCTGCATTTCCTTGCGCAACTGGCACTCTGACCATAATTGTTTATGTTGGTTTTGGGCCTTTTGGATGTGAATTACTGCAGATGACAGAGGAGGAAGACATCCAGATTCTGAGGACCATGATTCAGAAGCACTACAAGTATACACAGAGTGCTTTGGCTGAGCAAATTCTCAGGGAATTTGATGACCTGCTGCCGTACTTCGTGAAGGTTCGTATCTCAGCCCTTTGACTACCGGAATAACGTAAAGACAATCCGATCATGGCGAATTAAATGTTTTCTGCAGCAGCCAAAAGCGATGATAATGTTGCTGGATTGGTCAAAATGAGTTTAAATGACAACTGAAAATGTAAGATAACGTTCTTGCTAACCCAATTATGGTCAGTTGTTGCAAAGGAAGTGATTGTGACAGTCGCATTAGTACATCGCATGTTCCCGACATGATCAGGTCTCTCATTAACAACAGTCCTATGTCAAGTGGAACAGTTTTCAGAGGCGGAATACTAGTGCTGATATCAGCGACATGCTCAGGTTGACTAACAGGCACTCGTTTGCTTCTGTTCGTCGTGTTGGGCAGGTATTCCCGCGTGATTACAAGCGTGTGATGCTGGAGATGAAGGCGAAGAAGGCCCAGGAGTCGCTCGACAAGCTGAAGGAGATTGCTGCGAACGGTTCAGTCGAGGTGAGTACCTGTACTACTTGAACGGTCAATGTCGATCATACGAGCTATAGTACGGGAGGCACAGTCAGTCTGTATGCCAAAAGACGATCAAAACGAGCTGTCGAGGGCACGTAGACTGGCTTAAAGTTTGTGTTCCTGTCTATTCTGCTATGGGGTAGCAGCATTCATGGCATAATAAAGATGTAGATGTATTCCAGCATGCAATTGCAATCGGTTAATGTCTTATGAACTCTTTGAGTCTCAGGCACGCACGCTTCAAGGCATTGTGATTCGGATGTTGTCTTATGCTGTTTTGTGGGTCTCGTCTTGCCGCACAGGAGAAACCAAGAAGACCAACCAGGGTGGAAGGAGCTGTGAAGCATCGTGGATTTGTTGTTTATGAGCGAGAAGCAGCTCCTTATCGGAAGCCTGAGGAGAGGTTGAAAGACTGGGGTGAGGTGATGCTGCACGAGCCACAACCTGCATTGCTGAATACACAGTCTGCACGGTGCATGGACTGTGGCACACCCTTCTGTCACCAGGTATGTATAATGGGCAATGTGGTGTGATCACATCTGATCAGTCGAGTTTGATACTGAGATCCGCCTGCACAGGTGTCTGTTTTTGTAAATGAACTCTTTGGACGGGTCTACGTATACTGTGGGGTCATATGACTCATGTCTTTATATTATGTCTATCATTTCCTTCCCTGTTCGGAAAGATTTGCAGCAATTTGAAACGGATCTGAGTGGCGGATGGTTTTGGCTGGTCATTTACCACGGTAGTTTGGTTCAGGGCATGTGCCTGAAGCTACGGCATCTATCCATGTTACATGATGAGGCTGCGAGCTTTTTTCAGTTGCCGCAAGCGGTTGTCTCTGAACGGCTGCAAGTTTTTTAAGGAGTTAATCATGATCTTGGTGTTTCAGGTTTGATCGTTGTGTTTGTGCTCGCCTAAGTTCTCCCTTCTTGCTGCGGACACTTTCCAGATACTGCGATTCCTTTCATGCATGTCTCACACATGCTGGTACAGTTTGTGATGTCTCAGGCTCTTTCCTTGTCGTTGACGAGTGGCGCGTGTTTCTTGTTTGTTCGACAGGGCAACAGCGGATGTCCGCTTGGCAACAAGATCCCCGAATTCAATGAGCTCGTCCATCAAGGACGTTGGCGTGAAGCTCTTGATCGTCTGTTGGAGACGAACAACTTCCCTGAGTTCACAGGCCGTGTGTGCCCAGCACCATGCGAGGGTGCTTGTACACTGGGTATCATTGAGAACCCAGTCGCTATAAAGACGATTGAGTGCAATATCATCGACAAAGCATGGGAGGAGGGATGGATGGTGCCCAGGCCGCCTGTGCGCCGCACAAGGTATGTGGTAACCTTGTCTGTCAACCTCATCTCTAGTAGCACACAGTCCTCTACAGTAACTTCGAGATCGACGATCCAGATGGGGCCCAATTTCAAATCGGTGAAATCGGGCCTACTGGCCTCGGTTTTTTTTTTCCCGCGGTCCACAAGGTCTACGAAGGGGGCAAAAAGGGCCCCAGCGGACAGCGCCGGAAAAAAAAACCTAACCTACAGTGATGCGCTGGGGGTGCCCGGTGGCCAACCGGGTGCGACAACCGGCCAGGCGGCCCGGCCGCCGGGCGGCCCGGGGACTAGCCTTGCTTGTTATGCATTTCGTTAACTGTTTCTACACGATTGTTGTAGTTGTGGTTTAGTGTCCCCCTGTTCACATGAAAGAACATCAGTGACGTGGATTGAACTCTGGAGACCTGCTTGTGTGTGTGGGAGTGAATAAAACACGATTAAGTGGAGCCCGCCCTTGCGACCTACAAGTGCTATAATGTAGTAAATATCGAGCATTAATTTTTTGTAGTGTCGGGTGCTTGTGAATTAACTTCAATTAAGTAATTGTCCTCAGAACCGTGTTTTCTCATTTTTGGCAATGAGAGCTTTTTTAAGACTTCCCTCCCTTTTTACTTGTGATTTTGCCTCTGGTGCAGAATGAAGGTGGCTGTGGTGGGAAGTGGGCCAGCAGGGTTGGCAGCTGCTGATGAATTAAACAAAGCAGGCCACTTTGTGACAGTTTATGAGCGGGCCGATCGCATTGGAGGGCTGATCATGTATGGTGTGCCCAACATGAAATGCGATAAGCAGCTTGTTGTGGAAAGGAGAGTGAATCTCATGCGGGAGGAAGGAGTCAAGTTCGTCACAAACGCCAACATCGGTGTCACGATATCTGCAAAGGATCTCAAGGCAGAGAATGACGCGCTGATCCTCGCATGTGGAGCCACCAAGCCAAGAGACCTGCGTGCTGCTGGGCGTGAGCTGAAGGGTATTTACTTCGCCATGGAGTTCCTCACCGCGAACACCAAAAGCCTCTTGGACAGCAACCTGGAGGACGGGAACTACATCACAGCAAAGGGCAAGAAGGTGGTCGTCATCGGAGGTGGAGACACGGGCACGGACTGCATTGCCACTTCCATTAGGCACGGCTGCACTAACCTCATCAACCTCGAGCTCCTTCCTCAGCCCCCAGCAGGACGTGCAGAAGACAACCCTTGGCCGCAGGTAGGACACCGACGTCATGAAAACCGCCTGACAGTGTGCTTCCATTTTATAATAATCCCTTTTAACTGGGACTCAAACATTCGTATGGATTTTATTTTTTGTTTCTTTCCTGGTTGACATCTAAAAATGTGACGTACTGCACGGGGGGGAGTTTGTGTAGGGAGTTGTCTGTAGATCTGAATCTGAAAATGGGGGCATATATATGATTTGGAAAGGTATGGCATGCATGGCCGTATGCATAGTCCAGCATGTGATGAGCACGACGAATGGCCGTTGGCGGTAACGTCGCTGGCAACAAGCAAAGTGGCAGAAGGACAGAAAGTAGAGTGAGAGTGCCCGTTCTACGGTTTGCCCGTTTTCCTGATCATGGCCATTATAGGTCACGCCTCTCTTCATTATAAAGTAAAATTTGTTTTGAACTTAGCACACTGGCCTACTAGGTTTACTGTTAAAGAAGGTTTTGAAAGTCGGGATGGAATTTCAACCGTGATAGAAAAGAGCGTGCTGTCTTCCATACATTTGCTTTACGATGATTGATGATGCTAATCAGAGAATTTTCCTGGTCTGTAATGTGTGTCCTGCAGTGGCCCCGCATCTTCCGAGTCGATTATGGCCACGTTGAGGCGGAGACCACGTTTGGCAAAGATCCACGCACATATGAGGTAATATGCTCTTGTCGTTGGATGACGATCATGACTTGATTGGTCGAAGATCTGATGTTATGCTAATGTTTTCGCACCTGGTCCTCTTGGATTAGGGCTTTTTTTTTGTGGACCTTTTGGGGCTTCTGCGGGTTCTGGTGTGAGCTCTCTCATTTCCCAATGAATCAGACCTGTCTGTCTTTGCTGGCAGCATATGATTGATCGCTTGGTCCTGTCGGCTACTGGTCTTGGACATCGGCAGCAATTCATTTCAATTTTTGAATCGTTGTTTGTCGGCGAGATGGCAGTGGTTATATGCCCAATTATTAATCGACTATAGTCTCTGGTACTGCAGCGTTCATTTGGTGGTGGTGGTGTGTGTGTGTGCGTGGTGCGGCTGCATTTATGTACTGCTTTCTGTGCTCTTACATGCAGAGGTAAATGCTACTATTCAACTATTCAGAGGAGTAGTGTGCCATCACTGCTATGCTATTTGGACTGGTGTCTTTATATGCCAACAAGAGAACTTGTTCCGCCTGCCAGTGGCAGACTGAGTGCTTTTATGTCTCGATTTTCACCTCTTCGGATCATAATCATCATATATATGGAGTCCATTGTCATCGTGTTTGCCTGATTGACGAACAGGGGTGTGCACAGCTCGTAGCAGCAGAGGTAAGAAGTGAAAAGCTGCCGAACATGAGCTGGTGGTCGCACGGAAGCTTGATGGCCGGCATTCGCTAGAGAAAAGTCTATGTGGGATTCTCTCAGACGAGTTGCTGACCTGAAAGTGTCTGATTGTCTACTTACTGCAGGTAATGACGAAGAGGTTCTTTGGAAACGACAAGGGAGAGGTGACAGGGCTGGAAATCGTTCAGGTGCAGTGGTCCAAGGACGCTTCAGGGAGATGGGCGATGAAAGAGGTGGCAGGGTCAGAAAAGATTCTCGAAGCTGATATTGTACTCTTGGCCATGGGATTCCTAGGCCCTGAGCAGGTCAGTCACTTCTCTGCCCCTACCAGGACCTACAAATGTATGGAATTCATCAATAAGGTGTGTGTAATGGAACTTGAAGGGGATTACGGAGGGCGACTGTCATATGTCTAGTACCCACCCTCTAAAACAACCTGGGCTTAAAGGGGAAAAAAAAAGAAACAACCCGAGTCCCTTACGGCTGTGTTTTGCAGATACTGTTCCTTGAGTGTGATGGTCAGGGGATGCTGCTGCAGCGATTTGGGTTTGCTAGGCTGTTCTCGTTGTTTTATTAAATGCGGCTTGGACCGTTGGAACAGCTGTTCCCCCGGTTCTTTTTTTTTTTTTTTTTTTTTTTTTTTTTTAAGAGGCGTGTTTGAAAGCAATGTGCTGTTGTGTGTGTTCTCTGATCACAGCAGGTGTTTGCTACCTTTCAAGATTATCCTTGTTTTTATAATGGAATTTGTATATGAAGGGAATACACCTGGAAGGGTATGTAGATATGGCTGTGCACGTAAATTGCGCCGAGAGGGAAGTTATGCGACAATTAGTACCGAGTCGCAAAATAATGCACATGGAGTTGGTGTCCTTTGGGACATTCGTTAAAATTGCAATGATACAGAGAAGATTGACCTGGCCCCTGCGTGAGGTTGACATGCATAAATCGAGAAATGGTCCCCAAAAAAAAAAAAAAAAAAAACGGTCATGGATGTGCTCCACCTGCACTCTCCTAAAAGAATCCTCTCTGGTGACGTGCAAATTTGCAACGGGTGAGTTTGGGCAACACCGGCTGGGAACCATGTCCAGCGTCCCGATGACTGAAACGTGCGGGTGCAGTGTATCAAAAAGAACGATGAATAATTATATAAGAACAAATGACTGCTGGATAACGGGTTCAGTGTCCTGTAGTAGAATGTTGGAAAACCAGCCCCGCAAGCCACTGTAGCCAGCTGTTGTTTGTTTCTTATTCATCCACTAATTAACGCACCTGCCCACTGTGAACGGCTGGCATTCGTTTTTCATTCCTTCGTTACCTTGTGCTTAGACAGGGTAGGTGAGAGGAGAGGTATTCTCCTCATCCGAGAGTCTTGTTATCAAGGGTTGTCTGTTTCTGGTACGTCTTTATGATCTCTCTTGTATTAAAAGTCAAGACAGACCGGCAACGTTCATATGCTGACTGTGAATTTTGCCGCGTGTGCGTGCGTGTGTGTGTGTGTGTGTGTGTGTGTGTGTGTGTGTGTGTGTGTGTGTGATCTTTTGGATCATCAGTACATCGCACAGGAACTCGGGGTTAGCACAGATCCCAGGAGTAACTTCAAGGCGGACTTTGAACGATTTGCAACAAATGTGGACGGTGTGTTTGCTGCTGGCGACTGTAGACGAGGACAGTCGTTGGTGGTTTGGGCCATTACTGAGGGAAGAAGAGCAGCTGCAGCTGCGAACAAGTATTTGATGAACAAAGCTGCTCTTGCAGAAAGCCAGAGTGTTGCATCTGCTCTCAAGGTGGGAGTTGTGAGCAAGGGGGAGGCGGTAGCAGTTGTCGCGTAGATTGATTGATTGATTGATTGGTTGGCTACTAAACTGCAGCGCCGGGACTTTAGAGGCAAAGTCTGCAGCGTGGTGACCCTGGCCAGACTAGGGTCTGGGTCTGTCACCTTGCCACGGTGTGAAGGAATCACATTGAAGTATGCATATTTTGCTGATAGCGTAGAGTAGTTCAGGGTTGAGCAGGAGCCGATTCCAGGGGTAGGAGGTGGAGGAACGGACAGTACTGAGCGGTCCTCCTCTCGGAGGGAGATCGTAGATTTGAGGGGTGTCCTTCTCTCCGAGTCGCAGCAGCAATCCCTGTTGCCCATTTGTAGTTTCCATGAAGCAGAGCAGACCGTATTCAATGCACTCATGGTCTTGCAGATTCTGGTGAGCCTGATCAACAACAGAAGGGTATGCAGTCCCTTCTGCAGTCCGGGTGCTGCAGTCACTGCTGCAGTCATACTCAAGTCTTTTCTGTCGATGTTGTAATAGGAGATGGTGAGAACGTGCTTGGGCTCGCTTCGAGCAAGTAGTCGGGGGAGTGTCGCGAGGGTCTTGGTTTGAGTACTACCTCTCAGATTTTGGGGAGCTCAATTCGTCGAAGTGTGTAATTCAGTGTTCGTACTCTGAGAGATGGTATGCTCTTAGCATAAAGCAGTGTCTTTGATTTGCAAAGACTAGTTGCTGAAGTCAAAAGGGTGTTAAAAAGGATCTGGAAACCGTTAACTAATGCGATTTGTTGGTCGGCTTTCCAGCTTCCCGGTTGGAGATTTAGTCGGTATTCATCTTCTGCACTTGTATGCCACAGGTTGCACCGTTGCAAGTAGAAATGGTTAAGTTGTTAGACTAAGTACTGGTTACCATTGACATTGATATTGTATGGCCCTGTTCAGAGGGTGTCTCTAATGTCCTCCACTTCTCTTGTGATGGACTATGAAGCGATTTCTGCAAAGAAATGTGATCATGGCGTTTCTCACCCTTCTTCGTTGCATCGTCTCTCGATTATGGCATGTATGCTTCCTGTGTTTGCATGCGTCAAAATGATCGTCGTCGTGTCCTTAACCATGTCTTTTACATGTCCACTCAAGGACCTCTGGTGATGTTCCTGGCGGTAATGTCATTGATTTCCACAGAAACTCTGGTCTTGTTGCCAGTACAGTCTTTTTTCTTTCTTTCTTTCTTTCTTTCTTTCTTTCTTTCTTTCTTTCTTTCTTTCTTTTTTTTCTTCTTGACTGAAACCGCTCCATCTATTGGTGGGGAGTTTCACCTACTGGAAATCGGGTCCAGCGTCCCTGGAGTACATAGATGAGAACAAAGATGAGTAGATGGTTATCAGAACATCTGGCTTAAGCATTCCTGACCACACTCTTCTGGGAATTCTTCACTCAGCTCGCTACGGTACTGGTTTGGCAACTACATGGAAAGGTAGTGGAATTTATGAAGAGAAAACACACATGTGGTCAGTGAGAGCTGTGTGTGTCAATATATGCAAAATCCAAAAGAACACGAGTACAGATAATGTCTACGTGGACAAAACTGAGAGTCTGAGACCAGGGAAAAAAAAACAACAAACCACCTCCACCTGTAGCGGATCGGTTTCTGGCATATGTACAGAAACAATATAGGGCACCTAAAGTACGTACGTAAACAAATAAAGAAAAGTCAAAAGAACCAACGTAGCGTCCTCTACAAGTCTCTAACCCATCCCACCACGCCTCGTACGAGTCCCGTGACCTGCTGCACCTGATCTGCCTGCGGGAGGTGGACTGTCCTTGCCGTCATTGCTCTCTCTCCGTGTCCGGGTCGGGCATCCGGTGCTGCTGCGGCGGAGGCGGCCACTCTCCTGGCCCTGTCCCTCCGTGCAACAATCTCGATGGGCTCCGTCTCCACGTTCGCCTCTTTCGCTTGTGCGTCCGTCTCTGCAAGCCTGTCACGCTCTCGATCTAAGTCGTCCAAACGCTCCCGCTCGGCAGCAATCTGAGCCTCCAGGCTATTGATGGAGCCATGCTCTCGCTCTCGATCTAAGTCGTCCAAACGCTCCGGCTCGGCAGCAATCAGAGCACTTCCCTCCAGCCTCAGCAATAGTTAAGCAGTAGCTGAGTAATAGTTGCATCTCCTCCCTTCCCAGTGATGTCCTAAGAGCAGGGCCGCGTCCGGGGGGAAGTGCGCTGCCATGGCCCGGGCGTCTTGGATAGTCGTCGATACTCTGAATACTCTGGATACCCCGGATGCAGGTGTCCTTATGACACCTCGGCTTAACCCTGCTGGTCGTTGAATTACGCTTGAGCTGTGTTTGCTTTTGTTTAGGTCTGCAGCATTTCCACCAAGGATATTGCAGACGGTAGTGCCGCACCACGTCTGTCTGATGTTCCCCAAGAATTCCCTCCCCCCCCCCCCCCCCCCCCCCCCCCCCCCCCCCCCCCCCCCCCCGATGCTCTGACTCTGGTCCCGGTGTTCATCTTGTGTTTGCTCTGTCCAGCTCACTTTCGCTATCCACCCGCCTTGCCGCCCTCCTAGCCAATCCTCGCAAAATCTAGAGATGATCCGGTCAGCGTCTCTCTTGGTGTGCGCCAGGTCCAGTTGGTCCTTGGTGGCCTGCCAACGGACCGCAATCTCGTTTTGTATCAGTTGACGGAGCTGCTCCAGGATGCATCTCCTCCACGAGATCGCCCAGAGGACGGAGCGTCTGCCCAGGCCGAACGTGTTCATGTTCTCCTGAAAAGTACTTTCTTGAACATAGGAGTAATGTCCAAGTAGGATGGTTCTCTAGTTCCATGGCGATTGCGAGCCTGGGACCACGTGCCGCCAGATCTTGTCCCACTACGGCTTTTCCAATTCCTTTGGGAGGAGGAACAACATGCAATGTGGTGTGGTTACAGCAGTGTGCGTGGACACTTGCAAACATTACGCACAGGGAGGCAAACGATGAGAATAAAAACCTTTGAAAAAAAAAAGGAATAAAAAACTAACAAGTGAATTGAAGGGGGAGGGGGGGGGGGAAGAAGAGGAAACTGCTTTAAATTTGTGGCTCTTTTTTCCTATGCTGTATATTGCAAGTCCTGTGCAGCAGCGGGCAGAAAATGAACCCGATGAATTTTGAAACCCCAAAATGTTGGGAGACTGCTGTCTGCCTGAAGAGCACAATAAAGTACTGCAGTTGCAGATGCCAGACAAAGGTAGAAGGAGACTGGACACTACCTTCTTCCCCCGAATACAACGTACGGTCATTATAGCTGTATCTAGACTGAAAGATGCCTCAAATACAGCTATAATGACCGTACGTTGTATTCGGGGGAAGAAGGTAGTGAGCTGTTACAATGGACAAGGGCTTCCGCAGTCGAGTCTGAGAGAGAACTAACCGTCAGTCTGTCATTGTAAAATCTTGTACGACGTACAGGGCGGCTAGAAATGACGGAAGCTGAGAGCAACCTCACCACAGTCATCTCAAGAACCAGCCCCTGTTCAAAACCTTATCCTGGACCACAGTTTGGTAGACCCTTTTCACACCAGGTCCTTGCATTCAACTACCAAGGCATTAATATCCCTTGTTAAGAAAAATCATGCCCACCACACGGCATTCTCTCGCATAGATTACTTTCTCATTTTCGACCACCTCATGGGGACAGGCAAGGAAGAGGACTCCAGATCAGAGCGAGAACGACTGACCTCGAATTAAATGAACAAATGTGACCTCCAATTAAACGAACAAATGTGCCCTCGAATTAAACGAACAAATGTCGAAGCATTTGTTTTCGAGTATAAAAGCGAACAACAGATCCAACTCAATAGAGGGTCTCAAGGAGTTAAACAGGCCAACAGGCAACTCGCACAGACAGTGAAGGGATGTTAGAGGTTGCAAAGAACTTCTACAAAGAGCTGTATCGATCTAAAACACCAACCACCACCCCTACCAATGTCCGGGCGGCCAGATCCAAAATGTTGCAATGCCTAGACAGGAAAATATCTGATGAGCAAGCAAACAAACTGGATGAACTGCTATTCATGGAAGAGCTACAGTTTGCGGTCCAGATCATGAACAATAATAAAACCCCAGGCATTGATGGACTGACAACGGAATTTTGGGAGAAACGATGGCCCCTACTGGGCTCGGACCTTATGAATTTTTACAACTACAGCTGGGAAAAAGAGGGTATCCTTGGCACCAGTGTTGTGACACTTCTGTATAAGAGGGCAGTGGCTCATAACGTACGGTGCTCTACCGGTTAACCAGTGGTTACATGTCAGAAGAAGAAAGAACGATCCAACCAGCTCTGATGTTTGTGCAGTCTGCTCAGATCAATAACAGGAAGATGTGATACATTGCCTAATTAACTATAAGGAAGCCATAGAGTATTGGGCAAGAGCAGCAGCACTATGGAATAGTCTATTCTCATCTCCCCTCCCAGAACACCCCCTTCAACTGCTCCTTTGGACTAATTTACCCTCTAATATCAGCCAATCAGAGAAAATCTGGTTCGGGATGGTACGCAAGGTCACGTTATGGGCCATACGGAAGGAGAGATGCACTGGATGGCACGAAGAACCCACGGGAGAAAGTGTGGGCAGCAACCAAAGAGATGATTGAAGCGAAAACCCTGTGTCATTGGAAGAAGGTTGAACTCTGGGTGCAGAACAGCCCAGATACAGAACAGGTGACACTTGTCAAATTCGAGTGGGTCTGGTTGGTAGGTGACAAAGTGGCATGGCTAAATAGGCACGTTTTAAGATGGAAAGACTGGCACAATTCTGTCAAGTTTGTATTCCAGCAGAATACCCAGGTACATGAGGAACCAACTCCAATCCAGGCCTAGAAGAGCATCCAAGGTTCATGCGCGACAGGCAGCAGCCAATGTTTCACTGGGGAATAGATGGAAAAATATTAATCTTGTTTAGGGTTCAGGGTTGAGGCTTTGGACAGAAACAAGACAAGCAGGGGTTAGAATGCCAGGGATTTCACAAGGCTCATATGTGGGGTTTAGACAGAATTGGTAGCAGTTGTGGCTCCTCGGACCTTTCTTGCTATTCATGTTTTATTTGACATGCTCTTATAGGAATCCTGAGACGAAAGGTGGAAGCAGGGCAAGCTGACAGTCAATCCCTCACGATGTTGAAGCAATCAATGCTGATCAGGGTTCCTTCGGCAAGACGGAAGGAAGCATGAGGGTGTCCTATGATGCAATTATTTTTCCTGACTTGCGGGTGGAATAGGAACCGGACTGATGCTCCCCAGAATGAAAAAGAAAAGAAATGACCGAAGCTTCCATAGGAGTGCCTTTATAGCCACAATGGAAAAAAGGGCCTTGCTCCAATATTAGTCGTTTTTTTTTTTTGTGGGGGGGGGTCCCACTCTTACGTGCGTTCGCGATTTCGGTACTGAAAACACACTTCGGGATTTTACTTAGTCGTTTTTTTTGGGTGGTGATTATATCCCGACGTGCGTTAGGGATTTCGGCACTGAAAAAAAAAAACAAAAAAAAAAAAAAAAATACTTTTAAAAAAAAAAAAAAAAAATTTTTTTTTATAAAAATTTTTTTTTTTTTTTTTTTGGGGGGGGGGGGGGGGTAATATTAGTCGTTTGATAATGGCTCGTAAGCTTGTTAATTTCATTTTCCTTGAAGAACCTGGAGGATTGGCGATGGTTGTTTTACCCTAGCAATTCCATCGGAAGGTCGAAGACAGGACAAGAGAGAAGAAGAACAGACTTCAAGACCAAGACACGAAAACACACGGCGTGAAGAAGATAATAGAGGCGGCGTGAAGAAGATGAAAGAGGCAACCATTCACTGAGTGTTAAAAGCGGCTCTGAACGATATCATCATGAAAATCCAAGATGCATATGAGCGAAAGGTGGTGTGATCACTATAGGCACATGCGCCGTAACTTGAAGATCTACTGGTGACGGCACTCTACGCAGTGTTTCAGCTGGCTCGCCAGTGCAGGCA